AACACATACAGCAAATTGTTGGCTTTTTTAAAGAGGAAATCGGAAGGTCATCGGGCAAAAAAGTCGAAAGTATTAACCACCCAAAATGTGGAAACTTTTCTAAATGAAGCACCAGGTCACATCTTTCTGGCCATAAAAATGAGTACATATCTACATATTTAATGAATTTTTCACACTTATATTATAAATGCGAAAATATCACAAAATTATTTTAAATACAATGTAAATCCTTATGTTTTCTTTTGTTAAAGGTGGCCTTGATTTTTGGAGTGAATGGCGCTTGTCGTGGAAATGAACTTCTTAACATAAAAGTCGAAGATATAGAAAAGCATTCAATTCAGTTATTTTTGATAAGCTTGCCAGATACCAAAACAAATAGAGAACGGTCATTCGTAGTCTGTAGAGAGCAAGTAAGAATGGTCGAAAAGCATCAAGCTCTACGCCCTTCTAACATTAACACTAACAGATTTTTCGTATCTTATAATAATGGCAATGGCGGGCACACTACAAAGAACCTGGGAGCTGCAGGATCTGGAAACCATAAAGGAATTTATTTACCTTGATTCTATGATTACCAGTGACGGCGACTGCGAAAAGGAGGTTGTAAGGCGAGCTCAGATTGCAAAATCGGCTGTAAAGCGGTTAGAAAAGGTTTGGAGGAACAGAGGAATAAGCAAGACAACGAAAGTCAAACTCATGCGGACCTTTATCTTTTCTATATCTCTGTACGCTTCAGAGACCTGGACGCTGAAGGCACACATTCGAACCAAGATCGACGCGTTTGAAATGTGGTGCTGGCGGAAAATGCTAGGGGTTTCTTGGACAGAGCACCGCACCAACATTTCTATTCTCTCTGAACTAGGCATAACATCCCGCCTGTCGACTATATGTATGCATCGACTTCTTCAGTACTTCGGACACGTGGCCCGACGAGAACCAGACAATCTTGAAAAGCTCATCGTCGTAGGTCATGTGGAAGGAAAAAGGAGCCGCGGAAGATCACCCGCCTGATGGACTGATGCGGTCAAGGAAGTCTGCCAAACTGACATTCTGACATCTATCCGGTTGGCCGAAAACCGCAATACGTGGAGGGAGCTGGTACACCGGGTGCCCTCATGCTGTCTCGACCCTCAGTCATGAGGTTACGAGGAAGAAGAAGAATAATGGCAAATGAACCAGACAAGTCATTGGCAAAATTAAAATTGGTGCTATTCCGAAGGAAATTGATAAATACCTAAAATCGACAAACGCAGAACTCTACACAGGCCACTGTTTTAGGAGGACATCAGCATCTTTTTTGGCAGATTCAGGAGCGGAAATAGCCCAGATAAAACGACACGGGGGCTGGAAATCCGATACAGTAACAGAGGGCTACATTGAAAATTCAATACATACTTAATAAGAATAGAAAAAGTTGCCGTATTAATGAGAACATTCATCAAAAAACATCTTCGAATATTATTGATTCTTGGACACCTTTGCTCCCACAGTCATCGATATCAAATAACGTGTCAGAAAACTCGCTGCCTTAAGCAGCGTCACCAACATTCACATTCCAAAATGAGGATCAGTCACAAGTTCCTGAATCTTTAATTACTGCTCAAATAAACTCCACCACAACTTCCATTAATGTTCCTCATAAAAATATTACTCTGTCCCTCCATAACTGGACAAATGTGTTCAATATTAAAATTAACTTTTAACAAAATTAATGTTTTATTTATGTAGACCTGGGTTTTTATTGCCTCGCAGTAGGTATGAAAAGTAGAGTATGCACCTCTGGCATAAAGCCTGTCTTACGTCACGGGCAGCATATTGGACCCCTCGCTTCACTCAGGACTCTACATAACTCGCTCGCTTCGCTCGGGAGTTAAAACTTAACTCCCGAGCGTAACGAGGGAGTAACTCTTGAGTCCCTCGTTGCGCTCAGGGTCCAATATGCTGTCCGTGACGTAAGACACTGCTTTATCCCCTTGGTGCATAATCTACTATTGTTTACTGTGATTATGTAATATGGAGCGCCAACCAAACATTTTACTTATTGTAATTTAAGTTTATTGTAAAAAGTGTTGTTATTTTATTATTTTTTACTACTTGGCATACTGAACACCGACAAGAAAAAAGCGAGTCAATAGAATGGGTCTTTCAATTCTGAAGACTTGGCGACGAAAAAAGAAATGTCAAACATCATTTAAAATATTTGCTTATTTTTTCGACAAATTAGGAAATACTGCAAAAGTGTCGCTTGATGACAAAGACAATGACCGCATAATTGTATGTCAACAGCTTTTCAGGGCTTTAGAAAAGATTGAAAGCAAAGTCATCCTTCTCCACGATAACGCGTCCCCACATTTCGTTAAACTTAAGTAATGTAGTACGATTAACAAAGCAAAAAAAGCCTACATAATGCAGTATATATTTCCTTCCGCGCTCAGTTCTCTTTTCTTCAATTTTAGTACTTGGTACCATTTTTTTATGTAACATTGCCAATTAGAAAAACCTCAAAATTTTACTCGAGTTAATCTTTAACACAAAATCAACGCATAGAATTTGCATTATTTGAGTATGGAGTTATTTTTTATGGATCCGTACCTCAAAAGGAAAAATACGGCACCCTTATAGAGTGAGTGAGTTGTCAGTCGGTCTGTCCGTCAAGACCCTTTATCTCAGGAACGCGTTGAGGTATCGAGTTGAAATTTAAAGCATGTATTCAGATTTACGATCCCTTGAAGCTGTGAAAAATCTCGAGCTTCTAAGTTATCGAAAAAAAAGATAGGGGCGTGTATGTGGCGTGTGTGTTCTTACCTACAAATTTTAGCTTATGCGTTCTGATTCTGTGGCGAATGTTATCGTTTCACATTATTAAATCTATAATAAATAGTATAAATAAAAATTTATTATTAAAATTTGCACAATGATTGGCCCCTTAAGAGGAATTATTCATTTGGTTGTCTGTAGTAAATTGATTATTATTTTTCGATTGAATGTAGTTACACAATTCTGTTAAATAGGGTTGTCAAAATAAGAAGACTTTATGCACTGCAGACGCATCCATCATCCAGCCTAGATCTCGGAATCTCGGATCTCGGGATTTGCCACTTAGTTTTTGTTAACTAAGGTAAAGACAAAGTTAGAGGCACACATTTTACGAGCCTGAATCGGTGTGGTACGCGTTCCACAAAGCCCAGCCTGAGAAAATCCCGTCTAACTGCATCTTACAAAAAGAAATTGATCATAAGTTAATTACCGGGCCTAATTTTTAAGAATTCAGAAATGTACAGTATGACTTAAGTATACATTATAAGTACATAATGTACCTATCAAGAAATGGGTCTATCTATAGAGGGAAGGGAATTGCAAGACTCCTTGGCTGTTTCTTTATTATTACAAGCTTTTATGTTTAAATATTATAGTCCTGACATTAACATGTAGCTGCATTATATAGAAATAATTACTTAGAGCTATTCAACTACGTAAGTAAGTACGTAGGTAAATACTTATTTTTCAGATTGATCGTTTTACTTTCAGACACAAAAACTGGTGTCCTGTACGCAATGCAAAGGATAATGGGCATTCGCCAGAAATGTAGAGAGGGTGATATCAGTTTCAGTGCCATTATGTGTATTTTCAATGACTACAGACAACAGAAAGAACCTTTGAGACTCTTACTATGGCGATGTTGGAAAATCATCAGCATATGGATACTTGTGTACATTATAATAGCTGCACCTTTATGGTGTACGAGAGGTAATTTTTTAAATTCTTTTGTAGGTACTTTATCATAGACTTTGATATTTTTCTGATGATAGCATAGATCAATGTCACTTAAACCAATGTCAATAGATTTTCAATTAACATCAGGTGGGTTAGTAGCAGTTTGCTGGACCTTGTATAAAAAAATGCTGATGATAGGTACTGTTAGAGGAAAGTGTAACAATAGTTAGAGACGACAAATTCAGTTTGGTAGACTAGGTACAGAAGATGTATTTAAATTTCAATATAATGGCATTCATACAACCCTAGATACACCACGTGCGAATGTATCCCAATGAAGAGGTCCTTGAACAACACTCAAGCACTTCTTGGGTCACAGTCACTGGCGGACCGAAGTGAAAAAATTCGTAAATATTACTTTAGTACTTAGTGGCGTTTTTTGAACAGATATCTAACCAATGTTTATTAATTTAATGCATTTGAAGCAAATTTTGTTGTTATACTTATTATAAACTGATCTAAAAAATATTTGTGATATTTAAATGCATGGTCGGTTATATAGCCGTCTCTTTTCGTCGCGCTCCGTATCTGCAATATTGCTAACACCGCATTCAGAATTAAGCGTAGAGTCTAAGAGATAGTCTATATTCTTTCGCCTTTAGCAACAGGGCGTAAAAGTTTACGAGCTTTTTGACGCATGCGTTGAAATTAAGACCTTTTAAAATATAGATTAAAGGTGACTTGGAATGTTGAAATAATGCCTTATGTTTTTTTTGACAACGCGATCATCTTACGAAGCTCTGTGGATCGTAGTCAATGTACCTGTTGGACAGGTTTCGGTCACGATTTTGTTCGTGTTGTATATAGGGTATTAATTATCGTTGCATATTATAGTGCCAGCAACATATAAAAATGTTAAATATGAAAAATAAACACATTGGTTTTATGACTTTAAGGGCTATGTTGCTGCTGCCTTATTTGCGATTTCTTTAAACCTCTTCAAACCATAGAGAAAGCAAAGAAATATCTTATGACAAATCCACCAGGTTTAATGAAAACGACGAAATGTTATCAAGTTTTGTATGAACCATCTAGAATTGAAAAAGAAAGCTATGAAGAGTTTGAACACTTACTAAGAACTATATGACTGGCAAAAGTGTTAGATATTAAATTACAAATAAAAGGCTTCTGTTCAATGTGTAGAAGTCAAGATGTACCTACCTACAGCTACTCAAAGTTAAGAATGGAAATGTGTTGATATTATAAAAACAATACATATTGCTTACCTCTAGAATTTGGTTGGCTTTAGAAAAGTCATTATTATAAAGCGCCAGTGCGACCAAACAATTAGGTTGAGCTAACATGGTGGATATAAAGTCGATAGTGTTTCCTTTGATACCAAGAAATGCTGAAAAATAAATACTTAAATGAAAATAAATTTTGTTTCCTTATAGTATAATTAGATTAGAATTTATAATATTGAAAATACCATCTTCATTGGCAGATATAGTTGACGCAACCATGGTATGATCGACATCTTGCTTTGTGTTAAACTTCCTTCTGCCTTTGATCTTTTTTCGTAGCGTTTTTATGTCGTATTCGCGGTCATCCTCCTCACTGCTTCCATCCACTTCAACATAGTCGAGACAAAGCTTCATCTGCAATGGATTCGTTTCTGGCGATAGTGTTGAAACAAGTTGCAATTTCCACATTGAATGGTTGACGATTCTGATGAGATTTTTAAATCGTGCTACAACATCTTGATCAATTTCCTCCACCTTCATATCACCATCAATCTTTTCCAAACATAGTTTCAGAGTGTTTAGCACAATCTGTGTTGTGAAAGCATTGCACATGAAGCCTGCATTATTGGTGCTGATGCTTTTAGGGCTCCTGTTCTGCTTTTTGGAATAAAAGTAGGAACACTCAGAGTGTGTACCACAAGGGAAATCTTGAGTTTGTTCATAACACGAAAAAAACTCATATCTCAAAAAGAGACAGGAAAAAATGTTTTCAATGACTTCAACACAATATTGCAAAGGTTGTAGAGAAAGGATTAACCGTTTAACATCCTCTAATGAAGAAGTTGTTTCTTGAGGATCATCTATGCCTTCTGAAGAATTTAATATGGTATCTATAACTTTCGTAATAGCACAGTAGCTGTTGTAAGTGAGAACATCCCAATTAACACAATTACTATCTTTTCTTTTAGCCTCGCTTTTACTGCTTAGTGTAACCAATTCCTTCATAAACTCATTATTAACATTAAGAAGTCTTGATACTTTATATCTGTCAACTTTGGAGAGCCTACAAATTTGTGAAATTACTGTCAATGCACTCTGAGAAAGTACTTGAGTGAATATTGATGTGGTCATTATCTTACAATTGTTCTCCAAGCAAAATTTAATAACAGTTAATTCCCTTTTAATCTCAGTCAAATAGAATTGAAGCTGCTCATCCGCTGTAGAGTATGTATCAAGGATAGAAAATATATTTGTAAGCTGATGAACTAAAGATGATAAATCATAAGTCTCAGCACTATTAGTCAAGTCAATGAGTACCATGATGAGGATTTGTTTGGTAAAATTATTTATTTTGAATGTGACACTCTCCATGTCATGGAGTTGATGTTTGTAAACCTCTGCAGCTTTGAGTAACCAATGTGTTTTGTCTTGATAGCACAGCTCTAGCATATATTCTGGTGTTAATTTGAATTCCTTTTGTGGTTCATTTCTTTGCATTGCCTCTGAAGCTATACTTAACAAATTAGGTGTGTCATGTGGTAAAAGACTAAGCAGAATTTGTTTTCTATATTGCCTATAAATATCTTCTGTTAAGTGTATTAGGACTTCTTGCACGAATTTGTTCAAAAACTGATCTTTCCATCTAACAAGGGATATTAATGTTATCAATTTATCTGAGCAGTTATTTTCAGAAAATTCTGACTTTAAAACTTCTAAATAAATCATTTGAATATTTTTTGTGATAATTTCATTTTGACTATTTTGCTGTATATATGCAAGTATTTTAGAAGTTGTCACTGGATTATTTTTCATGTTCATTTTAAAAAAGTCCCATATTTCATTGGAAAATTCTGATGGTGGTTTTCTGTCTTCAATATCATAATGAAAATTTAATATTTCCTGTAAACAGAAAGATTTTTTATACTACTTTGCAATGATCCTAATATAAAACAAATATCAGACAACTTTATAGGATTAACTATGGTATTAAATTAATAAATCAGATATAAAATTGACAAAATATACATATAATACATGATAAAACAAAATCCTTTATAAATATCTTTGAGCAGATGCCTAGCAAATAACTCTATCCCATCCTGTGTTATGCATAAGTGGAGTGCATATGCTGTGATAAACGACTGATCAATAGTTTAATCTATGATCAACAAGGATCATAAAGATTTTAGGATCAGAAAGACAGACACTCTCTGGCATAATGATTAATTTATTTAATTAAAGTTTCTCCTTTTCATCTAAGTAGATAGGGTTCAGCAGTGCTATTCTGTAAGAACAAACTGACTAATTTTAATTTATTTCCAATTTGTGTTCTAAATATAAATCACACCCCAGAATCAGAGCAAAGTCGGTTTGTTCTTACAAAATAACACTACAGGTTGGCCAGGTGAGGTGAGGATGGCTGGAGTAGCACCTTTTTCCACCACATCAGCTGTCTTATTAGCTGGACTACATTTACAGTTAACAAAGGGCCAAGTTTCTGCTCCATTTCTAAAATTTGTAAAAATTTAAATACAATTCTGTTACCTCATATGTTGAGACACTTAGATCATCTAGAAGATTAATGACATATTTAAGTTCTTCCTCCTCCATTATGTTTATACCGCCCAGCAGTTGCTATTGCTGTTTACAATCAAAACAAATATTGTTAAGAAGACAAGTCACTATATTTAAAAAAAACAAATATTGTTAAGACGACAAGTCACAATTTTTTAAAAAACTAAGTAGTTTCTTTTGTTGTTGTATAGTTAAAGGATACAAATATTATGTCAACTCCTTATCAGAGAAGTGACAGTACCAGATTACAGGTCAACACCAGTTTCAAGCCAGTGTTCTGGTTACCAAGAGGAAATAAATTTAAGTAATAAATGATATAATTAAAGTAGTAGTAAAAGTAGTAGTAGTAAATAACATATACATTATAAGACATTAGTCTAACTTCATTGGCGCAGACTTTAGAATCCAATATCATGTGCCTGTCTAGTTAGCAGTCCATCTGAGTATGGGAACTTAATAAAATCTGTTCAGACATTTTGCCAAGGTAGACTTTTCGGTAGGTAAACATCCTTACTTATTTCCGCGTTATTGATAATATAAATTATGTACTTACCTATAAAAACTGTATCCTTAATCACTTAAAACACTTATACTTTATATCTTCTTTTCATATGAAACATTAGGTAGGTGCCTACTAAGCTTTTTGAATTTTCTAGATAATACAATACAATGTTCTTTCTTTGCAGGTAGGAATTGAATTTAACTTACCTACTGTTTTACGTCTTTAACATTAATAATAATTATTGACACAATTACAATGCACACAGAGAGATATACCTAAATAAAAAGGTAATACAATCGGAAGGAGAAGCGATTAATATTAACGTTAAATTAAAACAATTTAATCGACTATTAAAGTTTCTATAATGAAAATAAATACTACTGTCGATGTTTTGACGTCTAGTGTCACAAATGATTGACAGTAATAGAATGACAGATTTAAGGTACAATGCCGGCACTTTCAGTCTGTCTTTATCAAGTATGATAAGGACAGACTGTTGTCAACGAATACGGATAAACTAAAGCTATTAACAGACATTCCGATTTGGTTGGTGCCAACCAAATTGGAACCGATGTACCAACCATTCCAACATTGCTATAGACGTTCCGACGGTCGGCCTTCCAACCGTCAGTTTACTTTGCTATGAAGTAGTGAACGGACGTCTTGCCACCTGATGCCGTCGATCGTCGATGCATAAACATCATGCCACCGGTATTATCTAAAAATGCTAAAATAGCGTTGGTTGCAGCAACCATTGCTGCTACATCACCGCTACAAAAGGAACAAAGGAAAAAACGAAGCGAATGGGCTAAATTCTATTATAGGAATAGAGAATATTACAGCCATATGCGGCTCCTTAAGGAATTGGATGATGAAGATTTCCGAACATATCTTCGAATGACTCCAGAATCATTCGTTGAAATATTAAATTTTGTGAAAAAATATATAACGAAAACCGATACAGTTATGAGGCGAGCTGTAACTGCCGAAGAAAGATTAGTGGCAACTTTAAAATATCTCGCGTCAGGAAGAGAATATAAAGATCTTAAATTAAGCACATGTATATCACCACAACTACTGTCTGAGATAATACCAGAGACCTGCGAAGCTATCATTAGAGTACTCAACGATTACCTAAAGGTATGTATTCAATAAAACAACTTTAATTATTTAAAAAAATTATATTTTTTTTTCTATAGTAACAAACATGACGATGGTGATTCTGTTAGCAAGTATAAAAAATTTAATGTATTATTTGTTGGGTGTATCCTTACTTTCGAAATCATAAAAATGAAAATGAAAAAATACCTACGAATATCAATTCGAAAAATTACTTTTTAAAAATCAAATATTTGTTTAATTCCTTCGCCTTTCCTCTGAATACTTGTTGTTGATTGCTGCTTAATTCAAAAGAAGTGTTTGGGTAGTCATTAATCAATGAAGTGGAATCTAATGGGATTGGTGGCAAATCATAGATTAGTTGTGAAGATGAGTCATCCGATGTAAGCTGAGGGGACACTATGTGTTGGTACGAGTGTGATGATGGTGGAAGCTGAGGTAATGTTGATGGTGATGGCTGACTGTGTTGAAGTGACGGTTGAGATTGTGCTGTATGTGAGTACTTAGGTGATGGTGATGGCTGACGATGCTGTGGTGATGGTGTTGGTGATGGTGCATATGGTGACGGCTGGTAATGCTGTGGTGATGGTGATGGTGACGATTGATATGGTGATGGCTGACGATGCTGTGGTGATGGTGATGGTGACGATTGATATGGTGATGGCTGACGATGCTGTGGTGATGGTGTTGGTGATGGTGCATATGGTGACGGCTGGTGATGCTGTGGTGATGGTGATGGTGTTGGTGATGGTACATATGGTGATGGCTGGTGATGCTGTGATGATGGTGATGGTGTTGGTGATGGTACATATGGTGATGGCTGGTGATGCTGTGATGATGGTGCTAGTGATGGTTTTGGCACCTGCTGCTGATACGCATACCGCTGACCAAAAGATTGTTCTGAACTTCTTTTTACATTTATTGATGTTTCAAAAGTAAGGATTTCTAGTTTTGCATAGAACAATACTTCGCCTATTAATTTTTCGGCTAGGCATCTTTGTATTTTTGGGAGCTCCTTGAGTTGAGAGCTCACGGAGTTCCCAAAAGCATCAGCTGATGTGCCGTCGCCTGATATTAATATTTTTGCAGACTCTAGTAATTCCGACTGTTTCTTTAAAATATCATTTTGCTTTTTTCTCGTAACGCGTTCTCTTTTTGTTGCAGGTTCCTGAAACAGAAAATGACTGGTTACAAATAGCTAAAGACTTTGAAACAAAATGGCAATTTAATCATTGCTTGGGTGCTATTGACGGCAAACATGTTATTATCGAGAAGCCGCCAAAATCGGGTACATTGTACTATAATTATAAAGGAACTTTCAGTGTAGTCCTGCTTGGTATTGTGAATGCAAATTACGAGTTTATTTATGTAAATGTAGGTTCTAATGGCAGTATTTCTGATGGTGGAATATTCAAACATACAACTTTTCATGAAAAATTGATATCGAAACAACTAAATTTACCATCACCTTCTATTTTACCGGAAACAAATGTTAACGCCCCATATTGTTTTGTAGCAGATAATGCATTTGCCATTAATGAAAATGTTTTAAAACCATATCCAAGAAGAAATTTGACACATGATCAAAGAATTTTCAATTATAGACTTTCCAGAGCAAGAAGAATTGTCGAAAATGCATTTGGCATTTTAGCTGAACGTTTTAGAGTATTAAAAAGACCAATTCAAATTAATGTTCATAATGTACCCAAAGTTGTAATGGCTTCATGCGCACTGCACAATTATTTAAGAAAAAAGTCATCGAACTATATAACAAGAAATTGTGTTGATACCGAGGATACTGAAACATGTACTTTTCGGCCAGGAGACTGGAGATTAAATGACAACTCAGTAAGTCTTAACAGAACAGAAAGGCAACGTACTGCTGATGGTAATTCTGTTAGACAAATATTCACTGAATATTTTAACAATCAGGGCCGGGTACATTTTCAAGAAAGAATGATTAATACTTTAAATATTTAAAGCTTACCCCATCATTATTTGACAGGGAAGAATTCGTATCCATATTGTCAATAACCTCTGTCGTCGGTGTGGTTTTTTCGTCCAAGAATGAGAGATGTTCGTAGTACCATAGTGATGGCAAATGCACTTCATCGTTTCCAGCACCACTAGTCTTGCTAGCTTCCACCTAAAAATATGTACAATATCCTAGAGTTTATTGAAACCCATAGTTGTGTTATTTCTTCAATGAAGTACTTTGAATATGTAATTTTTTTTTACTTGTTAATAAATATTGTCAAAACATGACTTGATGTAGCAATTATACCGCTATGTCACTTGAACTGTAGAAGCAGGTAGAGGGAAGGGGCGAAATCCTTTAGCAGTCATATCATTATGAAATGAAAAAATTACGTCACATTAAATACATGTATTTAATGTAACGTAATTTTTATTTATTTATTTATTTTATTTTTTATTTAACTTTTCGAGCCCGTAGAGCTAACAGTAGGTGGACTTAATGCTAAAAGCATTCTCTCCCAGTCAACCTTGAGAATAAAAACCGAAAGCATTGTAAGGTAGTTAAAAATGAAATATATAAATAAATAAGGAAAAGAGAATAAGTACAACAAAAGTATGTATTGAAGACACAAATATTAATAATTATAAATATGTAACATACTTACAACAATGTATTATAAATATGTAACAACTTACAAAAATACTCACAACTTACACATTATTTATTTATATACACAACAGATTATTAGACTTGAATTTGCTTACCTTTTTTCGCTCCCTCTTATAGGATGTACGCATATTGTCCAACTTAGTTTTCAACGTTTTCAAAGTAGCTGCACTGTCATTTTTTTTAAAAACGTTCAGCATTATCAAATACGCTTGATTTCTGGCATCTCTATTGGCGTAATCTTTGTGACTTAAGTCCCACAAACAGGGAAAGTCTTTATAAAGTTCTAGTAACTTTATTAATATGTCACGTTCGGTGACCGTCACTCCCTCGGCGTTCATGTTGACGTCCTACAACGCCGGCGTAGCGAGTGCGATTGAGTCGATTTGGTCGGAACGTAGCTTCCATACGTTCCAATTTGGTTGGACGGTCGGCTTGTCGGATGCGTTGGCGATCCGACCACGTCCAACCAATAATAATAATAATTATGTTGGACCGACCGCTCTCCACACTTTCCGTTTTGGTCGTGGTCGGGTGGTTGGCACCAACCAAATCGGAACGTCTGTTAATAGCTTTACAAATAGCAAACCATAATAGCCAAGTGGTGTGTATTTAACATTCTCTCTCCAAATGTAGAAACCGATACCTCTCTGACGCGATTAACAAATATGGTAGTTTTCCAATTACATAGCATAATGCGACTCAGTGGCGCACAATGATGTCGATTCTGGCATGATTCTCTAAAGCTAAACTTAAATTTGGCAACAGTGCATCCCTGTCATTCTCTATACGGAATGAAAAGGAGAGACTGATGTTAAATTTAGTTTTAAGTTTAGAGAAACACGCCAGAATTGACACCAATACCGAATTATGCTGATGCTTAGGGCTCTTTCAATTTATGCGTTTCTTGACGGTCGGCTGCGGTGCCGAAGCGGTGCGTTTGTCGTACAGCGTACGGACGATCCTTTTTTTTTCATACAAAACGCGCGGTGCGGCAACAATCCTGTTGTCGAGCGTTCGCGGTACCGGCGCCGCACTGTTGCCGCACCACGCGTTTAATAAGATTAATAAAACAAAAAAACTACGCTCTTTGGGCATTGTTCCCTTTGACTTCCCTGAAATGAGAGAATCTTAAAAAAATATTTTATTTGTTTTGCAGGTTACGAATCGTACCAGAGGAGAAATTATTTTGTACCCATTTTTTTAGTTTTATGTTAAATCATTTTATTTATCAACATTAATAATGACAACATTAAGCAAAAATTGCGCTTTAAGGTATGTTTCAATCTGGAATAGTTTTCGAATGCCATATATCGGTAAATACAGACATAGCCTTACTCGCAACTTTACGACGATTTTGAGTAATAACAAGATATTATTAACTAATTCATCGTCATTATCAGCGAAGAAACTCTTAAAATTTTACTCTGAAGATAAGAAAAATTTTATAAATTTAGAACAAAAAGCTGGGACACTTAAAAGCGCATTTGAGAAAAAGAAGGAACAGTTGAAGGATACAGAACTCCGTATAAGACAGAGGAGTGAGGAAATCGTACGTGATATTAAGCATCAAAAAGAAATAACAGAACATAAATTAAGGATAAAAAAAGAGCACCTGATTAAAGACATATTAGAAACTAAAGCAAAAGTGAAAGAAAGACTTGAGGATGTTGTAGAGGTAATAACAGTTCGGCTAGTTCTTATTTATAATCTTGCATAAACATATAGAAATCAAATAATCTCATTGAAAATTAAAAGTTTATTATTGGTCTCAATCAAATATTGAACATGATATAGATTCAAATAATTTGTTCTTTGTGTTTTAGAGGGAAAATGTTTTTACCATACCAAATATATTATGTGTGACTAGAATAGCTATGTCACCATATCTCGGCTATGTTATTCTAGAGGAGAACTATACATTGGCTTTAGGTTTACTGGGATTTGCTGGTATTACAGATTTGGTAAGTTAAAATTAACTTGATAATACATTTTTATGGTGTGACAAACCCTTAATTCAAAATTATACAGAAGATCATCAATTATTAGCTTTTGCCCACAACTACTTCAGCATGAAATAGAGAAAATCATACTTTCTTCATCATGCATTTGCCAGACTGAAGATAACACAACCCTAAAGAGGTTACTCTGGTTAATGAATGAAAATCAGAACTAGCTCATTACACAGTGCTTTTCTATGGATACAGTTTAGTAAAAATGTTTTGGTTTGTCTCAAATTTATGATTGCATGACATTATATTTTAATAAGTAAATCAGTGTGTGATCATTTCAGTTAAACAAAATTTAATGTGATTTATCATTCTTTATAATAATATATTTTATAAGACAAGATCATTCTCTTAATTTTTTTTATATTTTTCAGCTTGATGGTTGGATAGCAAGGAAATGGAAAAGCCAAGCATCAAAAATGGGTTCATTTTTGGATCCAATGGCAGACAAAGTGCTCATAGCCACACTCTTCATTTCATTGACATGGCAAAATTTAATACCACTCAGTTTAACTTTGCTCATTGTAGGCCGCGACACAGCCCTTGTTGCAGCTGGTTTTGTCATAAGATACATGAGTTTGCCCCCGCCAGTAAGTCTGTTATATAAGTGTTATTGTTTAAAAACTGCAACATTAGATAACTTTAGATATAAATATTGATTTATTTATGGTAGCTGCTTATATATTGCTAGTAAATTATGTTATTTTAGTTACACACTTATAATGGTGTAATAAGAATTTTGGCATCCATTTTATTCCAGAGGACACTTAGTAGGTATTTTGATGTAACACATGCTACAGCACAATTGGCTCCAACCATGATAAGCAAATTCAACACTGCTGTGCAACTTCTATTGGTAATTTTTTTAATATTTATAATTTAGTATATAAGTGGATGCCTCTTAATTGATTCTCTAAGTTTTGTATACGTGATGAACATCAGCCTCCAAGGTTTTCTGTATCTGCATACTAAAATTCATCATAATCAAATCAGCAGTTCAGGTTTGATTTTTAATGTGTACCTGTAGACATAGCTGGACACTGTTAATCAAATAGTTAACTTTGTTAATTGTTAATCCATTACAAAAGAAGTTACTCTAAAACGTTACATTTCCGAAGATTTAACGCAAGTTAACATAAAGTTTTGGGTTCTGGAAGTAAATAGGTTCAAAAAAGACAGTGTTTAAATATATAAAAATGGGTGCGTGTACTTATGTAGGCGCGTGAGAAGTTATCCTTCTTTGGCATCGTTTAAAATTAGTTTTTAATTGCATGCAAATAATTAATTACAATAAATTAATAAAAAGTCTGGAAAAGGACACAGTCAATAAAGTTCAGTTTTAATTTGAAAAAATAAATAAATAATCAAAATATTCAATTAAAATCGCTACTGAATATAATTTATAGAACATATGTGATTTGCACTTGTATGAAACTCAAACACGTATTCCGAATATACAAACTAGAAACATGTGGATAAATATTATAAATATGAATACCTATAACTGTTACTTTATTACAAAAAATAAAGATGTGGTTTTTGGTTCTACTACACCAATGGTCAAGAGATGGCGCTGTAGTCTCCTGAATCGCGCTTTGGTTCCGTTGTTCCAGATTAATAAATACTTTTGATATTATAAATATGAATACCTGTAACTGTTACTTTATTACAAAAAATAAAGATGTGGTTTTTGGTTCTACTACACCAATGGTCAAGAGATGGCGCTGTAGTCTCCTGAATCGCGCTTTGGTTCCGTTGTTCCAGATTAATAAATACTTTTGATAGGCCTTCACAATGCAGTCGTTAGTACCCACAAAATAGAGATTCTATTTCTATTTTTTTGGTAGATTTTCTTAATGTGCGGTAAACACAAAAGTAACAGCGCAAAGTAAAAGCGACCAACTTTATGCTGTTAATTTTTTGTGTTACAGTGATGCGCGCGCATCTTAAAATTTCACTTATAACTTCAAAAAAATAAAAGTGTGTAATTTTTTCGCACTTTAGTATCAAGTATCTGCTCTCCCGATCTAGATACAAACCTAATATAGCCCCTTAAATGTGGCCACGGATTTTCGTCTGTAGAGGAACTTGACGAATCCATGATACTTATGGTTTTATTTACACAGTAAGTACTTACACTCTTTCCTTATAAATACACACACTGCACAAAAGCAAACAATCAAGGATGGTTCACAAAATCCAAAAATAAAAGTGTGTAATTTTTTCGCACTTTAGTATCAAGTATCTGCTCTCCCGATCTAGATACAAACCTAATATAGCCCCTTAAATGTGGCCACGGATTTTCGTCTGTAGAGGAACTTGACGAATCCATGATACTTATGGTTTTATTTACACAGTAAGTACTTACACTCTTTCCTTATAAATACACACACTGCACAAAAGCAAACAATCAAGGATGGTTCACAAAATCCAAAAAGTAGGTAGTATGTATTTGTATACTTTCATAAAAACAACCAAAGCACTCGTCACTCGTAGTAAGCGTCTCGCTAGTAATAAATAATAATAAATAAATATTTCTAACACACACACCAATTAGCCTAGCCCGAAAGTAAGCACTGTAATACTTGTGTGATGGGATACTAGGGTAACGGATAGAATACATATGCTGTACATAAATAAGGATATTTATATAGAAATACATATTAAACATTCATGACTGCAGTACAAATGCTCGTATTCATCACACAAACATCTGCCCCCACCGGGATTCGAACCCGGGACCTCTCGAGTTGGCGACACCGTGAAAAGCGGCGTACAAACCACTCGGCCATGGAGGTCGTCAAAAGCAAAAGTAATGAATTGATAAGATCACACGCGCCGCCAATACATGCCTTCATAGATTCGGCACGCCTTGTCATTGTTTGCTGGCCCGAGCGAACGTACTTGTCAGAACGCGTTTTTCACGACACGGCGGGGTGTCTGCACGCCGCGCAGTCACCGCGCTTTTTGGTAAATAGTAAATACCGGATTAACGATTAACGGACTTAGGATAATTTAAGAAGTTAACGAGTCCGTTAAGATTTTTAAAGTTTAGGAAAATTAACTTCGTTAATTCTTAATCCGTTAGATTAACGGGTTAATGCCCAGCTATGCCTATAGATTGAAGGTCAAATTATTTTTATAAAAGTTATATTATTTTCAGGTTGGTACCACTCTAGCTTCACCTGTCTTTGGGTATGTTGACCATCCAGCTCTATCAGCCCTCTGTGGCATTACAGCAGCGTCTACAGTTGTATCGGCAATAAGTTATTTAGTTAGTAAGGACACATATAAGTTTTTGAAAAAGAAGTCATGAAATTAAACTATCTACTTAGTATGTTAATGATCAAAATTTGTGTGCAGGTAGACTTCCAATTTTTGCTTGTATTTCATCAGAGAAATGGTTAACATAAGTTTAGATTTTGAAATTCTGTATAAATGTAAATAAATGACGTTTGTTACAAAAAGATTTATTTATACATTCCCAACCGAATGACTGAAAAATTTTCTATTTAAGTACCGTGATACCAATATGCATCTCTTATTATTAAAATTCTTGATCAGGGAAATCACAGATGTACTCTGTCTACTGCTACTGAGACACCGGTCTTGCCTGGACGTTAGGGAGAACTGAAACACGAACCACCCCACGCCGCCGTACGGCCTGTGGGTATAGTCGGTTCATCAGTATTTGTCGAACAACAAAGCCGACCCAAAGTAATCACTGCCGACTATCCATAATCGATTTTACCACCCGGCTGTGTCGATTAATGCCGGCCCGCTTATGTATTTAGCCACCGTCCCATTCCGATTGATCCCAGATTAATGGTTTAGGCGTTGAGCAGACGACGGGGCGTGGCGGGCATTTTGTCCGCGAAGCAATAAAGACCGCGTCTGCCCGTCGATGTCTGCGGCTGCCCGCGCCGCGTACACAAAGCACACGACGGGCAGAGGCGGTCAGTAGCGGGACGTTCGTTCTAGTGAATAGAAAAAGCGCGTGGCGCGGACTGAGCTGACCGCCCCGCGCCGCCGTCTGCGTTACTGCATATAAACTGGTTTGTTTGATCCACGGCGGGCAGCCGCGGACATGCCGCGCCGCCACTGCCCGCCGGGCACCTGCGGCGCGGTCTTTTTGCCCTCCGTGTGCGTTTGAAGTATAGGATTCACTTTGTGCTATTATTCGCGGCGAAATTGACCGGCCCGCCCCGCCCCGTCGTCTGCTAAACGCCTTAAAGTTTCTTCTGAAGTACGGATTCATCGAGGATAAAGGCACTGCACAAACATGGACACTTGTGTCGGATACAAACTACCAATGAATATATTTGTTCTCTATAAAATCAGCCACTTCCTGCGCAGACGTAAACATTTTTTGTGTCCAGTTGCTTCCACTTTACACACGTAGGTACCTACTTCGTTAAGTATCAAAAGAGTTTGGTGTAACTGGAAATTAAAAGTCGTAAGTTGAAGACACATGCAACAACAACTACGCAGGGCGGGATATGGAGGTGTGTCTTTAGGGTACTGTACATACCTTAAAAGGAAAAACGGAAACCTTATAACAAAGTGACCTTTTGTTGTCCGTCTGTCTGTCAAGACCCTTTAGCTCGGGCGCGAGTAAAGGCATCTAGTTTAAATTTAAACCTATATATAGCTTCAAGGGAAGCTATATAAAAAAAATACGGTCGATTAAGTATATTGCATACCTACAAATTGCAGGCCCTTGTGGCCCCAACTCCGCCTGCCCTGTCTTAAATCTGGGCCCTCAACTACAGTTACCCGTAACCAGCAGAGATCCAACACGATTTCTTACAAATCCGTAATCGTATCGTCATCGTTAAATTTTGTACGGAAGGAGCCAGTCTTACGTCGAGTAGGCGCTACTTAGTATTCATAGAAACTTTGACGATTCAATATAATTACAGAGCTGTCAATAGTTAGTGTTTGGGCCGCTCGAATAGCAACCGGCAACTGTGTCCGATGGCCGCTACAGGACACAGCAACTACGGTTACCTGTAATGGTGTGTGTGCCGTCTCGGTAACAAAAAGTGGCTTCTTTTGCGCAGCCCCTTATAGTAAGAACTACAACTAATATAATTCGTACAAAAACTGCTGTGTTGGAGTTGTAGCTACCGGATTTAAACAACTTTGAGTTTTTAACCGTGGTCCCACCACTGCCCCTCTGCAGTGCAGTCAAAATTGGTATTTTTTTTTACTCGTAAACCCACTGCACTACAGTGGAATAGTATATAGATTAAAAAATAATATTTAGCAAACTCATGGGAGTCGAGTAGTAGAGATAACCAAGCGGAGATTTTTGGATTTACTCGGGCGCGGCAGAATAGCATAAGGGGGGCAAACCTTGCACATTGTCAAGTACTCGCACCGAACCCAAGTCCTCACTTGAAGAGAACCATCAGTCCCTCAGAATACATAACTTATTGATAATTTTTGTATCGCTAGTCTTTAGACTTCAAAGGTAAATGGTAATAAGTCATTTGATTTTCATAGCGTTCCTTCATTATTATGCCCTTGTCCATATCCAACCATTCCGCGAACACAAACTACTGTCTGTTTTGTTAAAACTGATGTCTGCCAACTGTAACTAATAGGAACCGTAATAGATACAGTTGAAATGCTCACCAAATTTGTATTTCTATTGCGGCTATAATGAAAATATGATAAACGTAAGCGTGATAAATTTGCTTAATAGTACCTACGGAACTACGGTGAATGAGACAGACTTACACTTGACCCGTATTGTAGGATTGTTAGGTTTATCAAATGACAGTTATTATAAATATAAATGGAATCAATTTATTATCATTCTTCTCACAAGAATAAATTGCGGATAATTCATACGAAAATTATATAAATTTATAAAAAAAAGTAATAAAATTACAAATTATACTTAAACTAAAAGAAAATATACTGGTATAAAATAATTAATCTGCATTCCAATCTCAATGTATAAAGCAAAACAATATTATAATTTGCATAGGCAATGTATTGCAAATTAAGCAATTCAATCAATCTCAAATGGTTTTTCTCATAAAAGACATACAAAAATAACATTGTGGAATGTTGAATTTTTCGTTAAGTATAAGTTTTAGTAACATTCATTAGTTGCATTATTCCAATTTATAATCATAATGACAAAATTATTACAAAATGTGTTAATTGATACTCAGGATTTTATAAATCAAATTAGGATTAACACTTGTATGTACGTCAAATGCAGAGTTATTGGACTGTTTGGATGGTGAAGATAAAGGCACATTTACAAATCTTAGGTCTGTAGAGTTGATGATATTAATTATCTTTATACCAATTATTTTATATAAGTATTATTTAAGGTACCATTCACATTTTTGGTATACTGTTTCATTTCATCTACAGGAAAGCATATGCAGTACATTAAGTATACTGTAAGATTCAAGAAAATACAAGCATTTTATAATATGATGTTTGTTAGTCTAAAACTATAACTAGGTATAATGGCTATAAAGTTAAGGTTTCATAGCTTTTAAACAATATTAATGCTTGCAGCAATATTATTATGGTTTTGTTTTAGCAAATCATGTAACAACCATCAATTTTAACCATTTCTACAGTCACAAAATAAAATCATCTTAATATATTGTAAAGACTAGAGAAATCATGCGAGTTGTTATAGAAAATGATACTAGGTACATAATTCAAGCACTGAATCTAAAAATATAGATGATCTTTTATTCTAGCTATAAGTGGCATTTATGTTATCAATGATTAAAACTACATTTAAGCACATTATAACATTTAAATAGAATAGATACTTAAATTTTATTTATACATTAGGGTTCAAAATCAAATATGGCAGCTAGTATAAATATCGCAAGGAGTACCCACACAAAGAATTAAAATTTTGATAATATTGCAAAAAAAACTGACTTTAGACACCACTATTTATTTTACTAAAGTGTAAATTGAGTAGGTTTCAATTTATAGCACATCTTTGGGATTTTTTTCATTTCCACTATGTACTGTTTATTCTGGTTAAATATCCAGTAGTATAGTTTTAATTTGACATGTTTTTAACATCAATCTTAACACACATTTTTAAAATGGGCACCATTCTAAGAATGAATTAATAAAAACATACTGATTAATTCAGAAATCAAAGTTAACATTACTAACAATTAGCAAAATGTCACAATGTATTAAAAACTTATTCTAAATCATTAAATTGTACAAACAAAAGAATGAAATGTGTTAATTGCACAAAATGTTTTTAAATACAAGTTGTAATGGTAACAGCATGACTGCTCATTAGTTTTCATAAATAATTAGTTTGTGTAACACAAAATGTTTTGATAAAATAATGCTGAATAATTGTATTTATTCAGATATATGTTTTAATTTTAATGAGTGAGGAAAAGAATTTAGGGCTTCTACCCAACCTTATTGATCAGCTCATCACAAATGGCTGTGAGTTCTTCGTTATCTTTTATTTTCTGTGCTAATGATTCTTGCAGTGAAGATGCATGCACTTCACTCTTTTTCAGCATCGCATTCAACTTGAGAATCTCTGCTTGATGAACTTTTTTAACTGAATCAAGTTCAGCATTAGCTTTGTTGAGCTGTTGCATGGCATGCTGTCTCAGTGTTTCGTATCGAGCTTCAAGTTTTTGAATTGCATCATTATTTTCCTCCACTGTTCTCTTTAAAGTTTCTTCATTGCTTTTGTATCCTTGTATAATAACTTTGCACCTCTCATATTTAGTATGAACATCATTGAAAGCATGTTCCATTGAAGCTAAGTGAGCTGCAGCCTCATCTCTATCTCTTATTAAGGTTCCTCTCTCTTCTGTCCATCTCTTTGCTTCAGTCTCTCGTTCACCAATCAGAGATGAAATTGTCCGTTCATATTCTTCCATGACCACACTCATTTGTTTATTATTTCTCACCTTTTCAGCAACACGCTGTGAAAGAGCCTTTTCTTTCTCTGCATATTCTTCATTTTGATCGGAAAGCTTTTTAATTTTTGTCTCACATTCTTCTAAACGATCTTTTAACTCTCGGTTCAGATCTCTTAAATTTTGAGCTTCTTCTTCTTGGGCTGTTAATAATTCTTTCACTGCTCGTAATTGTTCAACTGTATGAGGGTCCATGTCAGAAGGTCGTGTGATTACTGGAGGTGGTGGAGGAATATTTGCACCAAGGCTTAACAAGCGATCTATAGTAGCAATAGCAGGGGACACAGTATTGACCTTCACAGGGGTACTCTTTACTGTTGTTGATGGTTTAACTGCTGGAGTTACTACTTGAGTGGGTTTTTCTGTTGGACCACTGACACTAGGTTGCACAGATAATTGTTGCATTGAGTTCACTATACTTTGCTCTACACCTGACATGGTACTGTCCACAGTTATTACTGTTCATCAAATCTACTGCTCTGAACAGATCAGTGAATACATGGTCCTGTCTGTAAAAACACATTAGAAAAAAAATATAATTAGCGAACAATGAACAAATTAATTATAGTTTTTCAAAATGATTGATGTCAATTTTGCAGTGATATAATTGCTAATTAGTTTTATTACGGTACTGTGCTAAAAAAAAAGGCATCATCGTAAAATTTTACGTCTCCCACACTGTGTCATGCCTGGACGGAACAAAAAGGAATGTTGCGTACAAATTAGGCAATGTAACCTACCGAAATGTCCTCGAACCATCTACTTTTTTTAACTATGGACAGTTCTAAATATTTTATTGTTATTTATATAGCTGAAAATAAAAACCGCTTTTCCGTAAGATTAACAATGTTAACAAATCTTGTATTACTAGGTAACTAAATACAAAATTATACAATATATCCAAGATTTAGCGATGATGACATCAGTCACTGAGTTTGATTTTTATCATAGCATGGCACAGATAATAATTAAAATGTCGTTCGTTTGACGATGGTTTGACATTAGGAATGTTAAAAAATAATCGACTATGATAAAAACAAGGAAATCATATTCTATCTGGAACGCTTACGAAATAATATTAGATTTCAAAAAATGTACTCTAAACAGTGTTAAATAAAGTAAATTTTTGTTTCTAACTTCATAAGAGGGAAAAATGTTCCGAGCAGGACAACGACGAAAGTGGAGTATGTCCCTTTCTTGCAATTGTCAGTGTTAATAAAAATAATCAAATGGTAGTTTTCACATTATCCCGATCACCAGTAATAAGAACTAGAACATACAGTTTGAAAGTTAAATTAGAATTTATGTTTGATTGCAGTTAATTGATTGATATCAATGCAACCAAAAATGAGTTTATTTTTATTTAAACGAATAACATACCTAATAAAATTGTTTAAAATGGTAGTCATTAGTAGTAACTTGCGTTTATGCATGAGAACACTTGCGATGCTTCCAATAAACAATATGGCTCAAATTATGATCAAATTCTCGTGATTTGCTGGTGCAAAATGATATATTTTTTTATGCACAATGGTGTAAAAGTGAGGCGTATGCTGGGTGTGCAATTTCAATAATAGGTACGTTTTCGACTACTGTTTACAAATTACATGTGTAGGGTGACAAAACATTTTGGATTCTCTTACGGAAAGTAGCATCATCATTAGCGTGTCAATGTCCACTCATGGGGCACAGTCCTTCCCTATGGATAAGATCCACCAAGCGAGCCCAGTGCGGATTGGTGGGTGCTAACGACTACAGTTGCCGCCGGGACCAACGGCTTAGCGTGCCTTCCAAAGCACGGAGGAACTCGAGTAAGTATGAATAATTTTGGTCACCCATCTAAAAACCGACCACTGCGAAAGTTGCTTAATTTCCACGATCCATGCAATAAGCTAGCTTCACACTCTTTAAGTAACTTAGATCGATAAACATAATAAACAATTTTAAAGCAGCGCCATCTATGAGATTGTAAATACATCAAGTTGAATTACATGTGTAAGCACTTTTTGGATATAAATAATTCAAATTTGATCATGTGGGCGAGGTCAGTAGTTGTTTTTAAAAGTCATAGATGTACTAATAATGTATCTTTAGAAATAAACCCCCTTTCGGGTTGAAAAAGTATGTGCAAATAACTAACTCCACGCGTACGAAGTCGCTCATCAAAAAAATAACATGTTATACGGTAATGAATGAACTTTTCGGATCGGATTTTACTATTGCAATTTATTTATACTATACTACTATAAACACTATGGAAAATATATTATACTAGCTGACCCAGCGAACTTCGTACCGCCCTAAAAAAATAGGGGTTGTCAGCGGACAAAATTGTGAATCTAAACCATTCTCAGATCCCCTTGAACACACACAAAAAAATTCATCAAAATCGGTCCAGTCGTTTAAGAGAAGTTCAGTGACATACACACTCACAGAAGAATTATATATATAAAGATTACTATATTCGAAGACAAAAAATGAAGACAAATATATAAATTGATAAAACGATGCATCGTGTTTTTTAAAGCTTTTAAAGTAATAATCTGTAATTTAAATAATAAATAAATTAAATATTATTCAGTGCTTATACTTTAATTTTTTTCATAGGTGGGTACCTATCTAAAGTATACATAAGAATTATTGAAAAACGTATCGTTTGACAAATTAAAATTTGAGAACCGTTAATCGTGTTCAATGTTGGATAAAAAACAGATGCAATACATATAGCGACATATTTAATAAGTTCGGAAGGTCTTTTAAAGATTTTAATATATTTTTGGACTTTCAAGCTAATGATATAGAATTGAAAATTGGAAGGTTCCTTTACTCGAAGAAAATTAATTGACTCATCAATGAAGTAACTGTTTGGGCATAGTACAAGAACGAGACACACTCCACCAATTCAGCTTTGCTCTTTGGAACGATTTTGAGGGTTGCGTAAGCATTCCAGTTAGTATATAAGTCCCTTGGATAAAAATGATAATATTTTTCTTAAAAAATCATTTATCAAAGGACAATGGGCAAAATACACACAGCTCCGCCAACAGTACAGTTTGTCTATAAAGTCGTGACATTAAATGATGGCGCCACTAGTATGCATATAGCAACCCTATACAGTCGGACCAAAATGATTTTGATACTAGCAGTTCATTCAAGTAAAATAGGTAAATAATAAGACACACTGTACCGTCATATTTTGTTTCTGATTTATATATAGTAGGTACCTATGCTTATAAAAAGTTTAGCCAAGCATATTTAATTGAATCAGAATAAAATTATTATAGATAAAATAGTACTTTATAGTGTAAAAGTGTGTAATGTTGGTGATTACCGCTGAGGTGCCATGGAGACCAGAGCCGTTAGGTAATCATCAATACACACAAGTATCATCATCCGACGTTTTTTAACACACTTGTTAAGAAAATAATACTAAAAATCATTTTATAGTATATAAAAAGTTTATTTAGAGAAACAATTTGTAAATGTGCAGTTAGTAAAATTAGTGATAGGTATCTTCACTAAAAGCATCTGGCCATGGTTCTTAATGTGACCATTTCTTTCTTTGGTCGGCCTTGCCTGTTTTCCCAGGAGTTTCAAACTTTCCATCACTCTTAAAACCTTTGACTATCTGCTTAACTGTACTCTCTGATTTTCCTGAAAAAAAGTAAATAAATATGTAATGGAATAGAAACAGTAACTTATTGGCATGAAGCCTGTCCTGACCGAGTTGAACCATAATAACGTATCAAAAGAAATGGTAGTACTACAATATTACCTATTTACAATGGTGTCGATTCTGGCAGGATTATCTAAACTTCTAAATTTAACATCAGTCTGTCCGTTTCATTCTGTATAAAGAATGACAAGGATACACTGTTGTCAAATTTAAGTTTAGCTTTAGAGAATCATGCCAGAATCGACACCAATGTCAATCTAACCTAAAAATGTGCAATGTAAACCATGGGCGTACCCAGGTAGGGTAGGAGGGGCAGCTGCCCCCCCCCCCCCCTAGAAAATAAAATAAACGTCAATTTTACTGGCAAGTGGGAATTAAAAACGTGTTACCTACTCTGCGCAAAATGAAGTGTTGGAAACAAAACATCTTTTCAGTCAGAAATTTTGATTATAATAGCGACGCAATATAATTTATATCTTTATGTTTTTATTTATTTTTTAAGCATTTAACTGCTAGATGTTTAAATCTAAAGAAAAGTTTTACTAGAAAAAAATCCACGCGGATCAGGCAGCGGACGGGACTCGAACCCGCACCCTTCGCAATCCGGGCGAATGCACTGGCCATTATGCTACCACGGCCCTATTCGCCGCGTCGAAATTTTTCCTAGCCTTAAGCTGCAAGGCAGCGCCATCTCTTTGCATTGTAGGTAACCCACAATGTCAAATGAATACTTTTTCAAGTATTAAACATTTGAAAGAAGAAATAGCAATTATAGTTATGTTTTTATTTATTTTTTAAGCATTTAACTGCTAGATGTTTAAATCTAAAGAAAAGTTTTACTAGAAAAAAATCCACGCGGATCAGGCAGCGGACGGGACTCGAACCCGCACCCTTCGCAATCCGGGCGAATGCACTGGCCATTATGCTACCACGGCCCTATTCGCCGCGTCGAAATTTTTCCTAGCCTTAAGCTGCAAGGCAGCGCCATCTCTTTGCATTGTAGGTAACCCACAATGTCAAATGAATACTTTTTCAAGTATTAAACATTTGAAAGAAGAAATAGCAATTATAGTTATGTTTTTATTTATTTTTTAAGCATTTAACTGCTAGATGTTTAAATCTAAAGAAAAGTTTTACTAGAAAAAAATCCACGCGGATCAGGCAGCGGACGGGACTCGAACCAGCACCCTTCGCAATCCGGGCGAATGCACTGACCATTATGCTACTACGGCCCTATTCGCCGCGTCGAAATTTTTCCTAGCCTTAAGCTGCAAGGCAGCGCCATCTCTTTGCATTGTAGGTAACCCACAATGTCAAATGAATACTTTTTCAAGTATTAAACATTTGAAAGAAGAATCGCATGGACTATTCTGGAAAGTTAAGACAGTGATAGCAAGTATGAGACAAGGATGGCAACAGAGTCGAGTATTTTCTACGTATTTCGGGAGCTTATATAAGCGCGATCGTGAGGCAGAGCAAGGCAATTCAGTTCGAAATTTCGAATACAATTCAATTTAGTTCGGAGTTTAATACGAGCGAATATTTAATGCGCCATAATAGTGTCTTATAGTTTAGTTGCGGCGACACGAGATTTACGTTTACTGCGCAACAACTGGAAATATTTACTCCATCAAATGGATATCAGGAATTTCTTTGAAAAAGGTGAGTCAAAACAAAACACATATGTATGTACCTAATTAGTTTAAGGGGGGTCTCTTGTAAGTGTATAGGAAGTAATTGATATTTGAATGTGATGTTTTTATATGTATCTTAATCTTTATTTATTAACACGTTTTTATTAGGTCCGTTTCTTGTCTGTTTGTCTGTTCGGTACAAATCTGGCAATTGATTTTAATCTAACTTCCCGATCTCCGGATGAGCTAGAGACTTGAAATTTTGACTGTAGGCCAGAAGTGGATGACAATACAATATTATATTGTTTTCTTGTCTATTTGTCTGTTCGGTACAAATCTTTCAATTGATTTTAAACTAACTTCCCGATGAGCTAGAGACTTGAAATTTTGACTGTAGGTCAGAAGTGGATGACAATACAATATTAGATTGTTTTATTGTCTGTCTGTTTGTTTGCTTGTTTGTTTGTTTGAAAGTCTAAAAAAATACACATTTTTTATGACTAAAAAGCTGTTTTTTTTTAATATACTTACCACGTTTTTAAAACAGACTAAAAAGTAATAAAGAAAAACGTGGGGTGCAAGAAAAAAAAAATAAGATAGGTAATGATAAAAAGTG